CCCATGACAAAGGCACTTAATTAAAAGAGGGACATCCAATTCTTTTGTCTTTCAAATAAATCCAACCCATTCAAACTTATTTGCAAATAAGGAAAATCCCTTTATATATACCAAAATTACCCCCAATTCATTGAAACACAATTCAACTCCAATTTCATGATTTACACCCCAATTTAGCCCAATTTCATCAATTAACCAATTTTAACCCTAATTTCAATTTTGACCCCAATTTTAACCCTAATTCTTATCAATTCCACCCATTATGCTCTAACTTCTTAAATATTACACATTGACCCCGGATTTAAACAAATATATCACATTAACCCCCAAAACTTTTTTTTTCAGAAAATAATTTTTTTTTTTTCTGAAATATTTTTTTTCCGGCCAGATTCCGGCGTTGACTGCTGGTCTCCGGCATTGACTTTTTTTTTTTTTTTTTTTTTTTGAATTTTTGTTTTCCTGAAATTTTTTTACGGCCGTTGACCGCCGGGTCTCCGGCGTTGATTTTTTTTTTTTTTTTTTTTTTTTGATAATTTTTTTTCTTAAAAAAAATATTTTAATTAATTTTACTGTCTTGGCTGCTAAATTACTATCTCCGGCAGCTATTTAACTGTCGGAGACAGTAATTTAACTGTTAATTAACTGTTTTTTTTTTTCTTGAAAAATATTTTTAATTAATATTACTGTATTCGTTGCTAAATTACTGTCTCCAACAGTTATTTAACTGTCGGAGACAGTAATTTAACTGTTAATTGACTTTTTTATTCTTAAAAAAAATATTTTTAATTAATATTACTGTATTCGTTGCTAAATTACTGTCTCCAGCAGTTATTTAACTGTCGGAGACTGTAATTTAACTGTTAATTAAACTTTTATTCATAAAAAAAAAATTAATTAATATTACTGTATTCGTTGCTAAATTACTGTCTCCAGCAGTTATTTAACTGTCGGAGACAGTAATTTAACTGTTAATTGACTTTTTTATTCTTAAAAAAAATATTTTTAATTAATATAACTGTATCCGTTGCTAAATTACTGTCTCCAGCAGTTATTTAACTGTCGGAGACAGTAATTTAACTGTTAATTAAATTTTTTATTCATAAAAAAAATATTATTAATTAATATTACTGTATTCGTTGCTAAATTACTGTCTCCAGCAGTTATTTAATTGTCGGAGACAGTAATTTAACTGTTAATTGACTTTTTTTTTTTTTTTTTTTTTGTCCTTACAAAAAAATTTATTTTAATTAATATTACTGTCTTGGATGTTAAATTACTGTCTCCAACAGTAATTTAACTGTCTTAGACAATAATATTAATAATATTACTGTTCGGAAAAATAATATTCATAATATTACTGTCTCAAACAGTAATATTACTGTATGAGACAGTAATTTAGTAGTCAAGACAGTAATATTAATTAAAATATTTGTTTTCTAACAAAAAACAATTCAAAAAAAAAAAAAAAAAAAAGTCAACGCCGGAGACCGGCGGTCAACGGTGGTTGACCGGCCGGAAAAAAAAATTCAGGAAAAAAACAACTTCAAAAAAAAAAAAAAAAAAAAAAAGTCAACGCCGGAATCTGGCCGGAAAAAAAAACATTTGAGAAAAAAAATTATTTTCTGAAAAAAAAAAAGTTTTGGGGGTTAATGTGATATATTTGTTTAAATCCGGGGTCAATGTGTAATATTAAGGAAGTTAGAGCATAATGGGGTGGAATTGTTAAGAATTATATTATTGAGGGTATTTTAGACTAAAGACATGGGGATGGGCTTAATTGAGAGACTGTTTTTTTTGTGGACTAAAATGCATTTAAGTCCCATGTGATGGGCCTTTTTGCCATTTGCCCTTATAATTATACTACTTATAATTATTTTTTTAGTAAGAAAAAAAATTAACTAAACAAATTATTTTAAGCATACTTAAATTTTTAATTATACTACTTATGATAAAAAAAAATTAATAACAAAAAAATAAATTAACTAAAAAAATTATTTTTAATTATACTTACTATTATTATAATTGTACTACTTATAATTAATTTTTTAATAATAAAAAATACGTATAATTATTTTTTTAATAATAAAAAAATAAGTTAAGCAAACAAGTTATTTTTAATTATACTTAATAGTATTTTTAATTCTACTACTTAGAATAAAAAATAAAAAATAAATTAGCTAAACAATTCATTTATAATTATACTTAATATTATTATAATTATACTACTGATAATTATTTTTTTAATAATAACAAATAAATTAACTAAATAAATCATTGCGCATTATACTTAATATTAGTTTTAATTATACTACTTATGATTATTTTTTAATAATAAAAAAATTAACTAAATAAATTTCATTATACTTAATATTATTAAAAAAATAATTATGAGTAGTCTATTTTAAATTTATAATTATTTTCAGCCCCAAAAAATTTAAAATTTTAATTTTAGCCCCAAAATTTTGTTTTCCGTTATTTGCTAACGGACATGTAACGGCGGGGACCAAAAGTGTTTAAAATTGAAACTTGGAGGTGAACTTTGTTCACTTTGAAACAAGGGGGACCAAAAGTGAAATCGAGCCAAACATGAGGGACTAAAAGTGTAATTCTCCCTTATGTTGTGTTTTATGTCAAAAAAAAAATGGTGTGTTAGGACTAGGGGTGGAAATCGGAACGAAATTTCCGATTTCCGCCGGTTCCGATCCGAATATTTCCGATTATGGAACTGATTTTTGTAATCCGTTTTCCGAAAATCCGATTTCCGATTTTTCCGAAAAAAGTCGGATCGGAATTGGAATTCGATATAAATTTTTTGGAATTTCCGAATTTCGATCCGAAAATAATTCCGAATAATCCGAAATTTTCCGAATAATTCCATTTTTTTCCGATTTTTTTATACTTTTAAAAATTATTATACATTTATATATGGGAGGTGGTATTCGCGGTAGCAAAATTACGAATGTCGTTTTAAAAAATCCACTCTCTATCTTTCTTTCTCTCTCTACAATTTTAGCTTTTATATTAGAAATCATTCCAAAACTCATGTTATTGTAGCCATTTGCAAAAAAAAATGAGTGCATCGAATGAGGATCGAGATACAGAATCCAATGAGGTAAAATCTGTAAGTTTTTGTTCTTTAAATCGTGAAAACGCGGCCCACGACCAATTTGGACGCCGAAAAATACGTTCACGCCCAAACTAGGCGCAAAAAAATCGATTCACGCCCGGTTTGGGCGCGGAAAAGCACTTCCGGCGCCCGGTTTGGGCGGCCAACACAGCTATCCGCGCCCGGTTTGGGCGCGCGTGCTGAATGAGTTTAAATAAAAAAAAATAAAAAAAAACCATATATTTGTGCTACTATAGGAACTCGAACACGAGCTCCTTCTGTTGAAGTTTTCACTTACCTATCCAGCTAGGCAACAGTCAATTTAGTTGTACATTCTTATTTAACAATAATTAGTCATTTCATTATACTGGAGAAAAAATAAACAAATACGCGCTGCTACCATGACTCGAACACGGGTTTATTGGGTAATAGACAAAACGCCTGACCAACTAGGCTAAAGGGATTTTGTGAACTAGTACTTATTTAAGTATATTGATTCAATTCCGTTATACTGGGCTAAAAAAAAAAAAAATGAACCGGACAGAACCGGCGTCTCGACCGAACGCCCGAAGTAATTTTCCACGCCCAAAATGGGCGTGGGCAAACAGTTTCCACGCCTGGTTTAGGCGTGGAAACTGCTTTACCACGCCCATTTTGGGCGTGGAAAATTCGAAAAGTCAACACTAAAAACAGCCCAAAATCGCGATTTTCATGGGATTTTCACATGATTAACCACAAATTCAATATATATAACTACTTTAGATGATTAATTACGTTTCAAATTGACGAGATTTTTAGATTTGGGATGATTTGTGAGAGAGGTTAAAGATTTTTGTGAATTTTGGGGGTTTTAAGGATTTTGGGGTTTGGGTAGATTTGAGGATTTTTAGAGAGAGAAAGAGAAGACTATTGTGAACGACATTCGTAATTTTGCTGCCGCGTAAATCATTTCAGTTTATATGTAGTCCATATTTTTATACTAAAATTGAGGCAATTACAACATTCCAATTTTGGATTTGGCTGTAAATTTTTTATTTAAAAATAGATCATTTGACCCATTTAAGTTGGCCCAATATGCAAAATACACTTCCCCATTTCAAACCTAATTTCTCGTCTCTGCTTCATTTTCATCAGAGTGTTGCGCCCTTCTTCTCAGCCAGACCCTTTGCTCAGGCTTCTTCTACGTCGTTAGTCTGTACCCCATCGGCTTACTTCTTCGTTTCGATCGATTTCCGTGATCTAAAGAGAACCTTAAATTTATTTATTTATTTTTTTATTTTTTCGTGATTTATGTAGATATTTCATTATTTTAGGGTAACATGTCCATTTGTTTTCGTAATATGCAAGTAATAGAAATTCTTGATTATGTTGTACTATGTAGACAGATTAGCCACCGATTGTTGCTGATTTTGGTTGTTCTATGCTCTTTTCGATTTTTTTTTTTTTTTTTTTTTTTTTTTTTATCTTCCCTCTTCAGAAAATTCCGATTTTTTTCCGAATTTCCGAAAATTCCGAACAAATCGGAATCGGAACTCATTTTTTAATTCCGAATATTTCGGAATCGGAATTGAGATTTCAGTTCCGAAAAAATCGGAAATTTTCCAAAGATCCGTCCGATTTCCACCCCTAGTTAGGACCGATTATAGAATATATATGTTGAAGGTGTAATAGCAACGGTGTTTCCTTTTAAATTAATAAGGCACCAGAAACCAAAATAACACGCTAGAACGAACAATACCAGAAAGGTATCGCACAAGGAAATAAACAAAACAAAAAGAATTGAGATTGTTATTAATAAGGCAACAAAACCAAAATAACACACTAGAACGAACAATACCAGAAAGGTAAACAAGGAAATAAAGAAGAAATAAAAAACAGAAGAAATTAAAAACAACTAAGGTGGGGATGGCATGAACCACGTTGGCGTTGGTACGATTTTTCTTTTCAAGTTTCGGAGATCACGAGGATAGTAGCACGAAGAAAAAGTCTGGTCTTTGTAATTAAAGACGCCTATATCATGGCCACCGTGCGTCACCGTATCTTCATCCCAAGGTAGTGGAGTTAGTTCCTTCGGGTCCGTGAAATAGATCGAATTGGGCTTCACATTATTATTATCCATCATTATCATTTCTTCATCATCGCCATCCCCAAGAACGAAACCATGGCCCGTAGAACCAATAAAAAACGCCATACCATCCAAAGTATCATCCATCAACCTCAGATCTCCTCCTTTCTCGTCTGCATCAACAATTAATTCATAAACCTTAAAACCCGTGGTTTGGTACGGACCAATGTTGGTCATTACATGACGATGCACAACAAAGAGACGATCGATTTTCTCGGCAAACACGAGGTAAGTCCAAGTACGGTGAGAGGTTTCGTTGTCCGCTAGTCTCCAAATCAATTTCGGAGAGAAAGGGTTGTCGAGATCCCAACACTCGTAGTTGTCGCACCTCGTAACGCAGAGCAATTTGTTTCGAGCGAGGGAATACACAAAGTCCTTGTAAATCCTCGGGAACCAAGAACGACTTGAGACTTGCTCGGTGATCGCCTCGTGCTCTTTAAAGAAAGTCCACTGCTTGCTGTGCTCGGGGCGGCAGCATGCCAGCCTGTCGAGTGGACCAAATGACATAATCGCCCTGCATTCTTGTTTGTCGTCGTCTTGTTGAGGAGAGCATGAGAGGATGACCTTTGTGGGTCGGTAGTTCGGTATGTCTTTTTTTAAAATACGAGGTGATGAGGTTTCAATTGGTGGAAGATCTACGTATTGATTGGTGCGGGGATTGTAGAGAAACATATCCAAGTAATTGAAATCTTGCCGCCACTTGTACAAAGCTAGCCACCCGTGCGAGGATCCAACCAATATCCCGTCTTCAGCTCTCCCGTCTTTTGATTCGTGCCTGATGCTTTGATCAGACATGCTGTAAAAGTTGTAACATTTGTTGTTCACGATGTCTTCAATGCGGTTTTCAATCAATAGCCACGGCGCGTAAGAAGAAAACGATGATGACTTCGTTACAACTCTCGGCCAACCACAAGATGAAGATCCGGCAGCCATCGCGAGGCGGCGGAATATCAAAGACGCCATTATTATTTTCTGAAAATCTCAAGAGGGGAAAAAAAAAGATTGAAGTTGAAAACAACCAAAATCTAACAACAATCAATGGCAAAATCCACCAACAGTCAATGGCTAATCTCTCCACAGTGTAGACCGCGATCAAGAATTGATATTGTTACATACAAACAATTATTTCTAAAATAACCAGAAATCTATTCGAAAAAAAAAAACAAATGAAAAACACAATAAAGAATTACTATTGGTACAAATAATTATTTCTAAACTAACAAGAAATCTATCCCAAAATATTCAAAGAGATAAAAAGAAAAAGAAAAGCACAGTGTAGAATTACCAACGTTGCAAATAAAATATTTCTATAAGAACAAAAAATCTACTCAAAAAAAAATTGATAATCGGTAGAATTGTGTCGAGTAAGAGGATAACCCATAAAACAAAACAATATGACTGAGGAATAGAACAGAAATGGAGAAAAAAGTAAAGAAGAACTAATGGGAATACGTTCGAAAAGAGAGAGGCACACACAGCGGCGGGGCTGCAAACAAGATGAAAGAAGTAAGAGATTAGGGCAATGTTTGGAAGCGTTTTGGATCTTATTTTGATTTCATTTTGAGGAAATATGTTTTGGGGGAATAATTTGAGAATGAAATTAATGTTTGTTTGTATTTTGGAAGGAGACAAAATACACTGTAGAAGTCAAATCATGTTTAAATGTGTTAGAAAAAAGTATTTTTGAAGAAAAAAATTGAAAGATGAAGTGATGTTTATTTGTTTTTTAGTGAAGACAATTTTTACTGTAGCAGTCACATCATTTTACTGTAGCAGTCACATCATGTCTGAAGGAGAGAGAAACTTTTGAAATTGTTTTGAGAAAATGATTTGAAAAGTGTAATAAATTTCATTTTGTTTTGGGGAAACAATGAAAACAAAATGGAAATGGTTCCAAACATTGCCTAGGTTTTTGAAACCAAAAGGGATGTAAAATGGGCCAATATTACATGGGCCAATAAAATAACCCTTAGTACTAGTCTTAAATCCAGTCCAAGGAAATATAATAAAACCCAACTACCAAGAAAAAACAATGTCAATATATATATATATATATATATATATATATATATATATTTTATCAGTACAATGCCAATATTTGGTTTGGTTTTTCATATAACGATATACATATATTTATATGACATTGCATAGTATTCATAACAAAAAGTATATATTAAAAAATCTACAATCAAACTACAAAAATTATATAGTTTACATGCTAAAATAAAAAAATAATCGAAAATAGACCATTTGTTGTAGTAGTTGTTATTACTACTGTTACTATTATTATTACTATAATTTATTATTAATATTATTATTACTATAATTTATTATTATTATTATTATTATTATTATTATTATTATTATTATTATTATTATTATTATTATTATTATTATTATTATTATTATTATTATTATTATTATTATTATTATTATTATTATTATTATTATTATTATTATTATTATTATTATTATTATTATTATTTGAATCGTATAATTTTACTATATTAGCCTCAAAATTGTGGACATATGTTTAAGAGTGTTCACTTGGTCGGTAAACCGATAGAAAATTCAGTACGCACCAAATAATGAACCGAAAATTATGCTTAGTATTCAGTAACTTTTTTTTGAATTATGGTATTTGGTACGATATACAATATTGATGCCCGATTTACCGTATCGTACCGAATACTAAAATATTTAATATTTTCTCCCTTTTATTTTAAATCCTTTAAGGTTATAACAAATTATAACATACTTTTAAATTTGATATTTTTTTCATTATTTACAAATTTGCCTCTATTGAAATCACTTTTTATTTTTAGGGTCGATTGTTGTAATTTGAATGCAGATTGATCAAGAATTAATCGTGTGAAAGATGCAGTTTAGCTTCAGTGGAACAAAGAATAGATAAATTCAACCTAAAAACATTAAAAACAAAGTAGAAGATAGCTATTTAACTTCAGTGGGACCTAATATTTAAAGATCTAGAATCTCATTAAAAAAATAAAAAAAAAATGATAACTTTGGTAGAGAGAATGCTCAACCTAAAAACCTAATATTCAGCACCAGGCTCACATGTGCTCACAATTAGCACAAGCAAAACAAATATTTAAAAAGGAAATTGAAGATCTTATCACCTGATTCATGGAATATTCATATCAATTAAGTTAACAAATCGAATCAACAAATAGAAAAGAAGAACAAACCCAATTAATTAGGAACCCTCCAAAGAAGAAGCCCTTTTCTTCTGCTATTGGAGCATCTTAAACTGATGCAAAAAAAGGGCGAGCGAGCGCATGATGATTCACAGACGAGCTCAAAACGAAAAAAACTATAGAGAGCGGCGGCAAGGTGGGGGAGCGGCGCTCAGAGGGTGAAGGGGTTGTGGGTGGACCTGATTCAACACCTTGAAGATGTAGATCTTGTACGTCTCCATGCTCTTCTTCGTCCTCTTCTTCTTCTCTCCGCCGACGGCTCCACGCTCTTCTTCGTCCTCTTCTCTCCACCGACGGCCGCCTTCTTTCCTGCCGCCCTGGGAGCCGTTTTTGACGATGGGATTTGACGAGAGAGTTAGAGAGAGAGATGAGAGATAGGAGAGGGAGAGAAAGTAACGGCGTTGTGGGTGTGAGAAGAATGCAGAAGGGTTAGGAGGGTTAGGGTATTTATTATATTGAAATTAAAAGGGCAAAATAGGTAATTTAAGTTGTCCAGGAGTCTCCCAAATTAAGATCAGAATTTGGGTTTTTGACTAGGCCAAAAAAAAAAATTGGACCTCTTCATATTTATTTTCTAAACTAGGGGTTATCACTCATTTACCCATTTTTTAATTTTTAAGCTTTAAGTTATAAAAAATTGAACGACATAGATTTTTATTTTCTTCTTTTATATTTAATGACATAGATTAATGAATTGAAAAAAAATAACATGATCTTTGATCTAGACACGGCCACGGGCCGGTTTTGGGCCCGGAACCGGCCCGAACCGGCTCGTTGACGGCCCAAACCGGCCCGTTGACCGTGTGAATCGGCCCGGAACCGTGAACCGGCCCGTCCTACCCGGGACGGGCCCGGTTCTTAGATTTGGTGAACCGTGAACCGCCGGGCCGGCCCGGCGGTTCACCCGGATTTAAAAAAAAATATATATATTCAAAAAAATTCAAAAAAAAAAGCAAATAACGGGTAGTGAACCGGCCCGAACCGGCCCGGGTGAACCGGCCGTTATTTACTTTTTTTTGAATTTTTTTGAATTTTTTTTCCCCCCCAATTTTTCCTATAAATACCCTCACACCCCAATTTTGCTTTTTTTTGAATTTTTTTTTCCCCCAAACCCCCCCAATTTTTCCTATAAATACCCTCACACCCCAATTTTTCCTATAATTTACTTATTCATCAAATATTTCAAACTTGTGCTTCTAAATTGACTTTTCATTTATTTCCTTTTTCTTTATCTATTTAAAAGTATTTATTTTAATTTACTTATTCATTAAATATTTCAAAAAAAAAACAAAAAAAAAAAAATTCAAAACCCGGAACCGGCCCGGATAGGCCCGTGACCGGCCCGAACCGGTGGGCCGACCCGGCCCGGTGAACCGTGCACGCCACGGGCCGGTTCCGGTTCCGGAAAATGTGAACCGTGAACCGGTCCGAACCGGCCCGGAACCGGCCCGAACCGGCCCGTGGCCGTGTCTAATTATACTCTTTCTTATGGAATTAGCTTTTTTTCTTATTAATTATTTATATATTAGTTTTTTTACTTATTTTTTATTTTAATTTTAATTACAATTTTTATTTTATTTTCATAACGAATTAGATTATGCTAAAGCCTTCTTACTTTCCATCTGGCATTAGCTTCGAGCTAAGCATTCTTACTTTCCTTACGAGATTAATTAGCTTTTGCTAAGCAGTCTTATTTCCTTTTTGCATTAGCTTTGATTGAGCTAAGCATTCTTAATTTCCTTTTGCAACTAGCTACAAGCTAAGCATTA